ATTTATCAGTAGATTCCTCAGCAGCAGCAACCACTCCTAATCACCGTAGGATTTCCAGTTCTTTTTTAAATTTTCAGGAACCTAGACATTATTCTGCAATAATTTAACCGTTCCTGTCTATCTTTTTTTATTTATTTAGGCAAATAAAAAATAAAGTGTCTTAGGAAGTTGTTTTTTTTTATTGTTTATGTGACGAACGCATCAAAGTGTAAATGAAATTGAGTTGTATTTGTAGTTAAAGTTTTTTTATGATTCCAACTAAATTTCACTTTTTTATTTCTATTGTTAGGATGGAGAAACAGTTTGATTGAATTCTAAGAGGAAAAAAGAAAAGCAGCAGCAGCAAAATAACCATTCAAAGCACTCAATAAAGACATTAGTATAATAAGATGCAACATCTTCTTGGAACATCTGTTTTTTGAAGATATGGACTTAGGGAAAAGCAGTGATGAGTGATGGAAACTTTAAGCAAAATTGTTTTAAAGTTTGGATTTATTGTCAAGAAAATTTTCGTAGCTGTCATTTCAATTCATTTTCATTTTTTTTAATGAGCAAATTTCTCATGATGTTTTTCTGGCACTTTTTACTTGACTGTTTTGTATGTTGCTTGCATGTTTGTCCGTTTGTTTGCTTGTCTGTTTATCCTTCTTGTGATATTCCCAACAGAACTGTTCCGCCGGTGAGATAGAGCAACAACAGCAACAGATTTTTAGCTTTTGTTAACAGCTGAGAATACCATAGAAAAAGATGGTTGCAAATAAAGGAGAAAAGCAAAAAGAATTCCTTCTCAAAGACAAACAATTGTTTTTTATGTTTACAGACAATTATACCTTGTGACTCATTAGGTTTTTTGTTAACTTTTTGGAAGTCAAGCAATTTTCATAGAAACCATTTTTTTTGCACACTTTTTTTTAGACCAAAAAACTTTCATCACTTTCTTTTGTTATGTGAAAGAAAAAGTGAATTTCTTATTGTTTATTAGTTTGGTATTTCAAATACTTTTTTCAGACTTCAACGGAAGAGAAGGAGAAGCAGTAACTGTTTTTAAGAAATAGACGGGGAAAAAATTTTTCTATACTTTTCGCATTGATAAATGATTCAAAAAAACTAGATCATTTTTGGTTATTTCCACATTCAACTCTAAAATTTTCATTATAAATTCCGTATTTTAGTTAACGTTTTTGTCACTTCTCAGTACTGTTGCCTGTTGCCCTTTTTGCTCTAAATGTATTCTTGTAGTTATTTTTTTTATTGTTATTGTCTTTTTCGTTGTCATTGTCGTTGCTATCATTTCTATTGCTGCTACATTTGTTGTTGCCGTCGAATTATGGCAAAAACAAAATCGCAATACTGCTGACATCTTTTATTCGTATGTTTTTACTGCATTTCTGCTGCTTTTTTATGTTCCTCGATCAGTTAAAAAGCGAGAAAATAAAAAATTTGTATTCAGAAAGGAAGTGAAAAAGACAACGGTCACGATAACAAGAGGACTAATAATTGGAAAATGGCTAATTTGAAATTATGTTTACACTTTTGAACTTGAACATTTTATAGTATTCAAACTTGCTCCTAAAAAAAGTATTTTTATTCTTTCAATAATTAGGTGAAATTTTTATTTGAATGATTGATAATGGCTACCAAGAAGAATTGTAGTTAAGCAACACCAAATTTAGCTTCAACTAGTTTGTAAGCATTCAAATAGATGCTAAATTTTTATGCGTACTTGTCTTGCAGCATAAGCGTGCTAGATAATGCCGGGTAAGAAGAAACATGGAACCTACGATATTATCTCGGAGGACCTCTACGACTGCCGTATCCCGTTACATAATGAACTCGCCTATCAGCACGGAATTCATTTCGAGGCTAAAGTAGGTCTCACTATTTTGCCTTTGTTTTTTTGCTAGTTCCAGACGGTTTCCTGAGTGCTGTTAGATTTCTGCTTTATTAAGCTACCTACCAGCAACATTTACTAGTCTGTTGATGGTGTCATACGTGAAATCCAGCTTCATTGATTTTCACTATAAGATTTTTGTCGTCTTTTAAAACGTCAACTGTAATAGTTTAGATTTTAATACCTTATTTAGGCAAAAACATTTAAAAAATTGTCTCTACTTTTTTTTGGCTGCTTTTGTCTAGCATTTTTCTGATTAAAAAGCTATCAGCTTATCTGTTGCAAATTTTTTTTCTGAGGTTTTCTTAGATGCTGCATCTATGCTTTTTATTTCCTACTTTCCTGATTCTGTGTAGGTAACCGTCTAAGATATCCTCTTCTATGACTTACAGTTTTCTTATTCACTGTGATTTTTATTTTTTATATACTCGTTCGCATCATGTATTACAAAGTATTTTGTTTTAACTAGTAACGTCAGTAAACATTCGACTAATTACGGGAACTTATAGTACGTTGGAAGCATGGAGATTCCGCGACCCGGCACTCGTATTGAAATTGTTGCGGCTATGCGACGAGTTAGGGTATATTTATCTATAAATTAAATTTTCTAACTTTCTGCTATGGTATTAGTGGCTTCGTTTGAACATTATGAAGGTGGTCAGTTTAACGGACAGAAAGTTTGCTGTAGAATTTTGTATGATGCAAATGCTTTTATAATAAAAGTCACTGTTAGGTGTTTGATGGAAGTTGTGGTACACTGAGACTTCTTATGATTGTCGCTAGATAAAACAAAGTTGTAGATTTTCTAATATCAATATTTTCAAGTTTTAATCTATCTTCAAATATTTATCATCGCTGTCTAATTAATTATTTTACTCTATAAAATTTTAACAAAAAATAATTATCTGATATAGCAAAAACCTATCACCAGATGTTTATTAAAGCATCATTTTCGTAAATTTTTGATGCTGTAGAGATAAAAGAAATCTGTTAATTTACTACAAAATATCCAATTTTTGTCAAACAATCTATTCTGTTTGCAGTACGAGTTCAAAGCTCGTGGCATAAAGAAACGGCCTGTGGACATTACTGTTTCGGTAGATGGTGTAAAGGTTGTGCTTCGACGTAAAAAAGTATGTGCTAATCTGCTACTATTTAATATTTTTTGCCTCAGTCTGGGAGTACTAAATTCCAGTTTGAGATACGCACTAAAACTTTTTGCGTGGCAAGGGGAAGATAAAGGAGAATGATGTTTAGTACACCTTATAGAAAAAAGAGTGAAAGCAATCAGTAAAAATTTGGTATACGTGAAGAAAGAATAGCGAAATGGGTTTGAGGAGACCAGAAGATGCAGAAAAAGCAAATGTCTCATTAATTTCTGATGTTGTTGATTTATACCTAATCAGCTTGTTCAGTACATCTGTATCTACATTTATATCACCTTGTAAATGAAGCGAGAGAAAGAAAATAATAATGCATTTTTTCCTCTGAGTAAGAAGTCGAAATTTTAATGTTTTTTCCGTAGAAACATCTTTCTTTTACTTGTACTGTGTAAGGGAACTAATAAAAGAGTCGTTGCGAAAACAGAAGTAGCTGAAGATATGAAGGAGGGGCATTGTACTTACTGGCTGATTTATGTAAACTTTTTTTAGAAGAATCAAAAGTCGTTATCCTGGGACGAAAGTAAACTGTTGGTTATGTTTCATCCCATTTACAGGTATGTTATCATTGCTGTGATCAGTGTCAAATTAATTAGTTTAATTATAATTGAGTTCTCTGTACGCGGTTTTCCTCTTGAATTGTTGGTTGTAGCTGTAGACTGTCAGTGAACGGAAGAACAAGGAAAGTTAGGAAAAAAAATTCATTACCGCTTGATTTTACTTAATTTCTTGCTTGTTAAGGCTTTTAGCGTTGGTTTGATTAAATGAAAACGAGTGTATTCAATTTTAATCAAATCGACTTTTCT